ATCAAGTATCTTTGTTCCTTAGGAGATCATCTGCTCCCGCTGCTCATTTACCATCTGAAATCATAATCATCTGTTGGTGACGATCTAATCATCTTCACAGTAACTAATTGTGATGTCACAAACAAATGATTATGATTTCAGGTGGTGAACAAACAGCAGGAGCAGATGTACTCTGAAGAACAAAGACTGTAAAGTCATGCACAAATCCCTAGTAATAAAATGTTAGGCAAGAAAAACAAAGAGTCTGTCCTTTACAGAGAGGTAGGATTGCTCTGAATGTATTTTTTTTCAGTATTAGTTTTTCAATACTTACTTTGTGACTCCCAAAATTGCTGGAAATAGATAAAGGAAAACTACACTATGGAAAATTGAAGGTGGGGAACATATAAAAACAGCTGGGGTCATTTTTTCCTTGTTAGAATTATAATATATAGAAACACTGTTACTTTTTGCTTTTATTTTTACATATTTGTGTTATTCATAGCTCCTCTACAGCTTCTCCTAGAACACATACTGTATGATGTTTGTGATTACCCCATCCAGAAATATAAAACCAAAATATGTTCTCAAGAAAATCCACTTTGCATTAGGATTGTTTATTTGTTACATGTTTTGTTTTTGTTGATAACTGCTTAAGTCAAATCCAGAGAGATAAATGAACATTCTGTTGACAGTAAACATCTCCTGTATGGGCTGCAAATGCTTGTCGTCAGTCCACAGCATCTCAGGGAAAAAAACTCACTCAACGTTCTAGTTATTTCACGTGTGAAAAATGTCTAAGATATCCCAAACCAAGAAACAAATAGCTTCTTGTTTCATCTTTAAGATTGTGAAATGAAGAGGAAAGGTAAAGAAGTAAACCTGTGGGAAGAAGCTTTGCCAGTGAGTAGGAGGAACAGAAGCGAAGTTTGCCGCAAGGATAGCTGCAAAAGTAACATGATAGAGGGGAACAGGAGAAGTTAATTTTCAAGGATATTTAATAGGGAATATTAAAAATGCATTGAGCAAGTATGTAGGAGGATACGGACTGTAGGGTATTTCTCAGCAAAAACAAACTACATAATAAGGGTACGACGAAATCTGTTCTTCAACTGTACTAAAATATATAACTGTTATGATTTTTGGTTTAGTTGTACTAAAGCATACAACTTCATTTTTCTATTCCAGTTTTATTTCACACAGTTTCAGATGGAAACACAGTGCATTATGCACACAAAGTAAGAGTATCTGCCTGCAAAAGGAAAGTGATGCACAATACGTTGTCCTAACAGGACACAATTGTTTTCCTGGAATAAAATTACTGGAAATCTGAGTAAGACCTGCCAAATTGTAGATGTAGCAATCTCAGAGCCTCGGACTTTCAAGACCACTGAAAGGTAGGTTTTAGGGTATCAACAAATGGAAAGTGTACATTTGTCTTATAAGCAAGGATATAGAAGGGAGGAAGCTGCTTCATCTGCCCTCTTTATAACTTCCTACAATAATGACAACACTGCAAGAGTAGATTCACCTACCAACAACTGTTGTTCTTAAATATAAACTAACATATTCATACCTGAAAGGATGTGACATTTTTGATCTCAAGCAGTAGAACTTATTTGGAACTGCCTTAAAAAACCCCTGCACTTCACACGTGCATGAGAGATCATGCATGCAAGTGATTCCTTTTATTCAAAAGGAGAAGACACTTCAAATTTCCACAGTTCTCCTTGACTATAAAGCTCTGAAGTTATCTTGGACTCTGGGGCTTAGGGGAAGATCAACGGGTGTGCACAGGGAAAACTCTTAATACTACTAGTTCTTCAGGATTTTTTTATGCATTCCCTGTGTGGGAAACTAACACATAATATACTACCAGAAGCAGAGCAGGCGAAGTGCTTATAGGTAAACTTGTACTGGCAGGCCATCCCCCTACTAAATACGAGCACAGCATTTCAACAAGTAATCATGTCTATGGAAAACTGGTGAGAAATATGAAGTGATAACTGCATACATCTTCTCCAAATGCAGCAATCCCCTGACCTCAGTCACGTCCTGAAAAACAGGCCTCCTCATAGAGCCATTCAGTAGGAAGTTATCAACTGAACTTACTGGTTACCCAAAGAATATACAAAAATGTTCTATACATTTTTTATCCAGAAATCTGTGGTTCTTTCCTATACATTACAAATAAATGGTGTGATATTTATACATTGAAAGATCTACAGTATAGCAACTACTACAGTGGTCTTCTATATAAAAATATACTTTAATAGAGTGCCAATCGATACAGCAGATTCATAATTCTATCAGAAAGGCCATTTTAGTTTAGAAATACCAAGAGAAGTTTTAATGAGAAACTCAAAAAGAAGACCTATTAGCAATTCATTCAGCCAGAGGTGATATGACATTAACACATTTAAGGAAGAAAAATGCATTTCTAGGTCTTCCGTGAATCCTGGATGAGACTGTAAGGTGAAGAAAGACTGGTCTTTCCTCTACATAACTGTAACAGATTCATTCTCCTCTTACGCCTTTACATGGAAATCACAGTTAAGCTGTAAATTTTAAAGAAAATACCCTAGAAGAGAAAGGCCCTTTATGAGGTGAAGAGTTAAAAAATCAGTAGAAAAAATATATGCCTGTTGATAGCATTTTGGGTTCAAACGCTTCCTATTTTGCAAAGGGATAGCACAGTCCCTCCAAAATGAAAAAAGATACACTTTAATCAGCTGATTATTATTAATGTTGCCTCTAGATTGGAATCCTCAAAAAAGGAGTTAAGGGATTAAGCCCAGTGGACTCCGAACAGCACTGTCAGAAATAAATGCTCTATGTCTATTGACATGATAGCTACATCTCCTTTGATTTCAATTTACTCGGAGATCAGAAGAATGGAAATGAAGGCATCTAGAAATGTCTTTCATGCATTAGAAAAGCATCCCAGAATGAAAACCAGTTTCTGTACCATGGCCTGTAGCTGCAAAAAGGCCTGTGAGCAGGTCAATCTGTGAAAAATAAGTTCTTTGGTCAGCACAGGTTTAAAATATAATTTTTGTTGATCTTGTCTGCTGTTGAGTGAGTTTGCTTTTGTGTTCGCCTTCTAGATTTGGATTTACATGTATGACTGCCAAAGTTTTCTTGCCAGATGAAGCCTGGGAAAGGGATTGTTTTTTCTTTTGGTGTAGTAGGTGGTTGTAATGTCATCTGTAAGTCTTTGCTACAAGACACTGCCAGGATAGGAGAGAAAAGCTAGAGGTCTTATTCTGCTGTCTCAAACTCCAGTATGTTAACATTTGAAGACGTTAACGTTTGAAGATGTTTCACCGGCCATGTTCTTAGAGATTCTGAAAATGCAAACAGAAATTATCTAGAAGTATTGATGGGGATTGATGATAGAGCTGGAAGGAAGCAATTAATAAGAAGTCTTAGATCCTGCAGAATCCTTCCTTTCAGGGAAACACAATGGCATGTGCTGAATCCAAGACCACTTTAGATACTAGCAAACTTTTGTGTAAGTTGAACCACAAATTATTCCCTAGGTCTAGTGACTGGGAAGACCCCATATATACCGGACACTACTGAACCCCCTTAAAACCTGCTTTTAGGACCATGTCCTTCAAACATGGTCTTAGGCAAAAAATAGAAGGTAGCTCATGTGTGTGTCTGTCTCTAGTACAATCTTTAGTTGAGGGAGATAATATTTAGGAATCTTAAGAAGTTCAAAACTCAATACAGTTCTAGAGAAGAATCCAGGGCTTATGGAGAAGTGAAGGAAGTACTATTTATATTATCTTTACCACTCTAAACAGCAAAAAACTAGTTATAAAGTCACAAAGGTCTGTCCTATTCATCACCTATTACAGTGCAACTGAATTTGGTCTTCACCAGCAAGGTCTCTCAGGCCTTTGTGTCTATAGACACAGCTCAAGGAAGAGAGAAACTACCAGTAGCGGAACCTGATCAGAGTCAGAGATCTCTTGAGAAATTTTCAGCCCATACAAGTCCATTGGACCAAATGGGATATATCTTAGCGCGCTGAGACAACCGGCTTATGAAACTGTGAGGTCACTCTCCATTATCTTCAAAAAGTCATGGAGATCAGGAGAGGTCTCCAATGCCTGGAGAAAGGCATGATCATCATCAAAAAAGGCAGGCTGGTCAGCCTCACTTCAGTCCCTGGGAAAATCATGCAGTAAGTCCTCTTACAGCCATTTGTGGGCACACACAGAGGAGGAAAAAAGCCATTGGGAACAATCAGCATGAATTTACCAAGGATAAAAACAGCCTCAACAACCTAATTGCCTTTTATGATAAAATGACTGGATTTATGAATGAAGGGAGAGCAGTGGATGTCATTTACCTGGGCTTTAGCAAGGCTTTTGACATCATGTCTCCCACAGCATCCTTGTATCCAAGCTGTGATATTAGAGCCTAGGTAGATGAATTACTAGATGATGAAAATCTGGATGATCAGGCTTAGAGGACAGTGGTAGGCTTTGGGGGACTAATAGCGGCCTTCCAATACCTAAGAAGAGGTTGACAAAAAGATGGAGCCAAGCACATTACTGAGGTATGTAGCAGAAAAACAGGAGACGATAGTCATAAACAAACAGGAGATGTTCTGACTGGGGTAAAAGGAAAAAAATTCAATGTGAAGATAATTAAGCATTGGAACAGGCTGCCCAGAGAAGCTATGGAATCTCTGTCCTTGGAGAACTGGAAAAAAAGACATAATCAACCCTATGTGAATTCTGTACTGATGCTGCTTTGAGCAGGCAGTTTAGATGACCTCCTAAAATCCCCTATAACCTGAAGGATTCAATGATTCAATGAGTAAATAAAAATCTCCTTGTTCCTGCACTCATTCATACCTATACTCACACAGAGGAAACTCAAGAGTTAATTCATCTAATTGCAATAAAAACCCTAAAATATTTACAGCAAGCATTTCAATTGTCTCGAATAATCCAAATTCTACAGAGACAAAGAGAAATATAAATTTAGAAAGCAATACTTACTGGTACTTGTTGGCTCAGGAAACCCAACACTCTGGCCGTTCCAACTCTTGTTTTCTCCAAGCTGAAACAGGTAGAAAAAGACAAATAAGTAAAGGGCAAATTACTCCTTAAACAGAACATTCATGTTTATAAATTTAGTTGAAAGATTCTAAAAAGGATGACTTGGGATTGCCACATCAGCTCACAAAACTTTGCTAACATATCTTAATTTTTGTCTAAAATAGGTTATTTGAGGAATGCACCCTTCATAAATAAACATTACAACTATTGCCTAACACTGAAACATAAATGTTTCCCCAAGGATTAGGCTCAACTCAATGTTACCAAATCAGACTTAAAATCAAATGTTTTAAGCAGCTCTCAACCGAAAACATACACAGACAACAGAGAAATTACATTCTAAAGCAAGAAGATCCTAATATCTGCCTATGAAAGAATGCATAAACACTACAAAGTACGTTGGGTGTAATTAAAAATATTTACTTGCTAGGAATCCATTTAATTACTGAAGTGGAAGCCAAAAAAGCTTGCAATTTTCAATTATTTTAATATATAGACTTTTTTTGAGGAAGCTAATTGTCTTCAAATTAATTTTATTATGTTTAACACTGGATATTACTCTGATACAGAAAAGGGAAGCAATTAACACAGAAGTTCAAAATAAGGACACTCCTGAAGTCTACACTGTAAATAAGATGGCAGTGTTCTAGATTTACATGTAAAAGTGGATAAACAAGTCCAAGCTTCCTCATGAACTAGGAGCTATTGACAACCAGCTCGATGAATGTGAAACAAATGATCCTTTTCAGATTTCACTGGGATTTTGTATGCAAACAGAAAAACTCGCAGCAAAGCAGTCTATATGCCGTGACAAAGTTGTAATCATTTGCTCTGGAAGACAGGGTTGATTGGAGAGCAGAAGAGATGTGAAGGAGGATCAGCTGGCTGAAATCTGCCTCTGCATCTCTGAGGTTGCATTAAGGCTGTTTAGATTACTATCATGTTGTAATGCAGACTACTAGATGATATGTTTTCCTTGGGAAAGAGAAGGGAAGAGCTCGCTATGCAAAGCAGCTATTCCAATGATTGTTTCCCTGCCTTTCCTCATCATGTACACCCCAATGTGCTGACAGCCTAGGCAACGCACAATAAAAATGGGAAATATTTAGTGGAAAGGGAGAATAGGTATTAGAGCTGGCTCTCAAGCTGGTCACCCTCCTCCATGCACTTTAGTTTCACATAACTCCTTTTATTTGTATTATGAAGTAGATAATATGTATATTGGAAAACATGGAAGACAACAGTCTTTCAAATGAATAAGCAATATGAAATCTATAAATATGTTTGTATTTATTGCTGTCTGTTACAACAGCATGGTTTTGTCAGGAATCCATACTGTGCATCCGTAACATGATAGGAAAATCAGCACGAGCACGCTGCTACAATATGAGAACATTTCCAACTCTCTTCAGTCCTCTCTTTTTACTGTTTATTAACTTGATCATGATGGGGAATTTAACAAGAATTCACGTATCAGTAAGTTATCCTTAGTGCTGCTGTCTCACATGCATGAAATCTTCTCTGATTTTCTTCTCTCAAAGACAATAAAAGTGGCAAGAAGAAATGAAAAGATGGAAACATGAAAAAATGAAGACATTACAACTATCCAGTCGCATCCATAGAGCTAAAATTCTGATAGCTGCAAAAAATCTCCCAGGGCACTTTCAAATTGCTCTCCTCAGGGCTCTGCACAACCATTACTGATTTCTTCCAGGAATTGGATTACCTCAGAAAAGAGCAGAGCCTTTACTTTTTTACGTTACCTTGATTACCTGTTTACCTGTGCTGCCATCAGCACCATGCATGGCTCTTGTAACACTCTTAGGTCTTCATTAAAACAATGAATACATTTTATGTACTGGGGTTAAGGAAAAAACACTGAATTTGGTTTTGTTTTTTTTTTTAAGGGAGGAGAAAGGGGATGAAAGGACTCAGGGACGAGGGGGGCAGGGGAAAGAGAAGTTGCCTTTTTTGAAAGTATCAAAAACAACACAAGTGAAAATTGTCCATTTAAATGCCAACCTGATACGTCAGCTAATCTACATTGGGCCCCATTTGGATTCAAAGACAGAAACAAGTGTCTTCTAATGGTACATGCTTATTGTGCAATTTATATGGAAGGAATTTTGCAATGCTCAAATTGGTAGAGATGTAAGGGCTATTTTCCCTCTTCTGCAGCACAGTTTAGTTTGAGAATTAAAATACTTTCATCTACATAAACTAACTTGTGTATCTGCTTTAAATATGTTCAGTCTGTTATATGCAGAAGATAAAGCCAGATGTTCTAGATATTTTATGTCCTTAACCCCAACAAAGCTATAAAAACTTCGTTCTATGATCTTGAATACTCCCACTACATAAAAATTGAGTAGTTCACATTTTTTGGATACAGTATCATGTTTGCTCATTGTGTTCAGAATAATATTAGGCCATTGTATGCTAGTCTATCAATTCTAAGATACCTACGTCTGCAAGTATGTAATTAAACCTGTTTTTTTAAAGACAATGCACTTGTAAGCAATAGTTTAATAAACGTAGGGAAATGAAGCAGCAGAGCCTCTTTTTAGCCACTCAATTTTTTTTTAAGGATTTCAATGTAACCACAAGTTTCCACTGTATAGAGCTCTCCAAAGCAACTATGTTGTGGGCTGAATTTTTTCAGGCTTTATCTCTGAAAATTACTGCGTAAAAATAGTTCAGCCAATTTGAAATCATAGAATGAAAACCTATGTTTTCCTATTAGAAAAAAAAAGTTGACTTTTCTGTTTTGCTTTGTTTTTGAAAAAGCCCTTTGACTAACTTGGCAGTGAAGAAAAAGTTGAAACTGGTAGAAAGTATCTTCTACAGCTGAAAAGTCTCAGCATTCTGGTGAAAATGAATTATCATTTGACTCTGTCATAAGCCTTTTCTAAAATGGCTATGACTCCACAGTGTGTTCTCACGAGGAACACCATCTAGCCTCCAAGTACTCTATTTAGAGTACTGCACACTTGTATATGACTAAGATATATAGTGAAGAACGTAGTGAAGGTGAGTGTGAATAGCATACATAGCGCTGCTCCTCTCAAAGGAGAGAGAAACAGAAGGAGGTGGAGCCAAGTAACCAGTATGGTATTTATCTTTTCCTGGAGAGGAGAAAACAGAACAGAGTATCTTCCTTTTTTTTTTTTTTTTTTTTTTTTTTAAGAAAAAGAAAGGGTGTTTCAGAAGAGATATATAGATATATACTATATTCAGATTTATCATGTGGTCCCTAGAAAAGCCCAGCAGAATATTCTGTTGACCCGAGCTAGCTAGTGCAGCCACAGCAAACGCTTAAGCCATGATTAAAATACATACATGCAGTGCCTCTACATAAAACAGCAGCTGTTCAGAGTCCACAGCTTAGCCAAATACCTTACCAAATATCTTTTCAGGATACAAAAGGCAAAACCTTAACATCCAATTTTGGTTACAAAACCTTCCATCAATAAACTCAAGACAGGAGAGGAGTGCTAAGTTGCACATCACTAACATGGAAATACATACCTGCAACGCATACAAATTTAAAATGTAATTCCTTCTCCACAAAAAAAAATAAAAAAGACACACATTTTCTTTCTCAGTCATCAAACCTGAAAAGGCCATTATTTTTCTGGAATGCTTTTAGTGCATACGCAATGGGAAGACAAACATTGACTACAATGACTACTTCATGTATGAAAATTAATAACATCATTCCTCTCAGTCCTCTCATGGATGCCTAAAATGGAATAAAAGCAAGAGGCACGTTCATCCTGATTTGTAAGTAGAAATAGGCGCACACATCACATGTATACTTTTGTACACACACACTATCCTCTGGAACTACATTTCTGTTCTTAATTACTCTTACAGGAGGAGAGGCTGCACTTACTACTAAACTGTAGCTATAGAGCTGTAGTTAAACGAAGGCTGATCTCTGACAAGCAACCTCCTAAAACAGTGCACAAGTTTAAGCTTCTGTTCTTACTACGTGATTAGCTGACACAGCTAAGAAATCTAGACAAGGGTAAAATGTGGGCATCATAACAACTGGTTCTCACCTTTTCTGGCTGGTCTTGAAGAGGAGTAGAGGCTTTGTAACCCAGCTGTAGCAACATTGCTTCTGCTGCATTTCTTTTAGCTATTTTCTTGTTTGGGCCTGTTCCAGTAGTAATCTCATTGCCTACTTTTACCTTAAAAAGAAAACATTGATCATAAAGCAGAAAGGGACTACAATACTGCTTCACACAGAGAAGCTTGTTTAGATTTTTCAGAAGGTCCCCAAACTCGTACCAAAGAGCTCCATTTTTCTCTATCTCAGTGTACACACAGTTGTCTCTCTCTTTCACCAGCCTCTGTGCCAATTGCTGAACATCTCCCCCACTCTTCCTCCTCCCTTTTTCTTAACGCGGGAAGCACTACAGGATCTGGACTTCCTCGTCCTTGTAGGAGTGTTGCCTGCAGCAGCTCCCCAACATCATCAGGACAGTATCCAGAACAACGGAGAGACAAACAATAACCTGGAGATTTAAATGAGAGTGGTTCCTAAAGAAAGATGAAAACCATGTTCACATTCCCCCCACTTTGTCACATTGCAAGGAACACGGGGGCTGGGGCTGCGTTCTTCTTCCGCACTTACACCTGACAAGCTTTTATCAAAATAGTCTTTGGAAAGAAGGCTTCTCGTTGGACCTATGGTCTGTACTGCACAACGGGTTTCTGACAAACAAGATGCCTTTCATAAAACTAGGAGAAATTAAAACCTCAAAATAAAGACAAATTATAGACAATGGATATCCACAAAGAGTAAGGCTCTAACTTATTCCTTGGCTTTGGTACTATTCTTAAACTCCTGAAGCTGTATGTGTCTGGTTTGTGGTATCAGCACTGTCATTGCTATTCACTTATGCAATATTCATACCTCTTTGATAGCTATATTTCACTCTGTCCATTAAGCCATTTTATTTGCCAAATTTTCTCTTAAAATAGTGTATGGTTTCAAAAGTGTATTAAAAAAAGGAAACCAAAATAAAATAAAAATAAAAATAGCCAAGGTGATCTGAGTAAAAGAAACCTTAGAGGTCAAAGACCTGAAACAGTCTGGAAGGAGCTTTAAAAAAATTGTAAAAACAGGCATATAAATGTTAAATAAATAATAAATGTTATTTAGTAATTTATTCAATTAGTTATTCAATAATTATTCACTTTCCTCAAATTATCATGTATATATTTTCCTAAAAGTTTTATTTTTCTTTACTCAAATACCTATTAATTCTAAATACAGAGAAGAGGTTGTAAATAAATAATAATGATCATGAATATCCCTTCAAAGTACATACATAATTAAACAAAAAGATTTGACTACCTAAGACAGAAATATTAATAATCTTGAAATAAAAACCTTATCTTCTATGCAGTTTTGCAATCACAATTAGAAAATAGCCAATATGCTACAAGTTTATATGCAATAAAATTGAGGGACTTTAATGGGACAAGACAAAATGATAATTTATAGCATAGCTCACAATAAATCAATGTGCTGCTATTTCTCAGACCTGTAAAACTGGTTTAGCTATTATTATAACCTCTATCAAGGATTAAAGGTCTGACTACAAAGAGAAAGAGCTTTCTGAAATTAACTTTGGGAACAGAACACCAACTAATGTCATCAGAGGTTTTCTTCTGTTTATCTAGTGGTCAGGACAAGTAATTGGATCTATTTCATCACATCTAAACTTGCTCTTTGTGTGACAGATAAAAATGAACATATTATCTCTGGATATTTTACTTCCACATTCAATTAAATTAAATGAAAACATTGTTTAAGTAGTTTATACAAAGGTTTTTTATTCTGATAAGGTTTTTTGCATGTCATAATGAATCCACTGAGACTTCCTGAAGACGGGAGAAACAGCAGCATGATTTTAGTGTGAAAATATCACAAAAGGGTAAAAAAGGGGCTACGGTGTTTAAAAGTATACATAATAAAGCAACTGCTCTATGGAATTTCTTTGACTCTTTCTTTCACAAGTTGTCTTAGACAATGGAATCTTCTATGTATTCACTGCTTTTAAGATTTTTTTTTTTTTTTTAATTCAAACCAAAGATTTTGCCATTATTGAGACTGCTCCAATGGAAAACCAAACTCTCAGCCCATCTTTCTAATACCAGACCACGTTATACAGTCCTCTTCTGACGCCTCACACAACCATCTCTAACTGTGGACACTCCCACAGGGGTCTGAGCAAGGGAAAAGGGATGGTCTGTGACAGGATCACTCTTTTTCAAATACTCTCACATAAAAAGTTGGAAATCCAAGTTTATACTCATAAATCAGATTCTGCAACAAAAGGAACCTAGTATCTTCTTTTGCTTTGGAGAGAAAAATAATAAATCATCAAGAAAGACCACTGAGGTCCACGGAAATGAAGATTGCTAGCCTATCTTGATTGACATGAAGGAGGGACTTAAATCTTTAAGTGAAAACATAACTAATTTTCTGGAGGAGGAAGTGCTGGAACATCATAAATTCTGCTTGTGATCAGAAGTGACATTTTGGTGTAGTTTGTAGACAACAAGTCAGAACGTGTTCAGGTATGCTGTTCTGAATTGTTCCGGCACAAAATTACCCGAGTGTAATTCAAAGAAAAAATATCCTTCCTGTTCCTAATCTTTCTTAACCTGCTGTTGTGCTATCTAACAAAATGTCACAGTTAATTATTAAGTCTTTGTGAATGTTCTTAATTTAAAAATTAAAGAAACCTTAATCATCTGCTGTTCCTGTATTAGGTCCAGAGCCTTTAACTGGACAGGCTAAAACACGTGATGGAAGGCTTTTTTTTGTGGTATTTCAGATAGGAAGAAAGCCACAAAGAAACTGAAAATCTGAAAAGAGTTGTTACAAGATTTACAACATTATTTTTTAAAACCAAAATGGTTGGTAATATGGAGATATTCGTATCCATATTTCAAAATACTTGTTTGTATTGCAATCCTCTGACCAAGAATAGCAAAAAAAAAAAAAATTTTTCAAAAAGACATAAATCATGAACTATCAGGGATAAACACAAAAACCATGAGGTGAAATAAAAATAAGAAGAGTACAAAAAATGCAAAATCACTACAAGAAAAGCATCTAGAAGGTACATAACATAATTGCCATTTGTTTCACCAGGAGAAAGAAGGAAGTTCAAAACGGCTTTCTGATACTGTATTTCATACTCTTCTTGTATAACTGACCGTAAAGCAAAGAGCTAAACACAGAGGGATCCACTTCATATCATGCCACCATTTTGCTTGAGTTTGAACATAATATAACATAACAAGGGCATTATCTCTAACGTGACAGCAGATAATACCTGCATAACAAACTCTCGACGGCGAGGCATTCCTCTCTCTGAAAGAAGAACATACTCTGGCTCCTTCTCCTTTTTGGCCTGTTGGATCTGAGCCAGACGACTGATGGGATTCATTCCTTGACCATATTCTGGCCCAGTCTAAAACAGGTTTTAAAAAAAAGAACCATTATTTCAGCATATATCCATACAACTATTATGTTGCTTCAATAAAAAAATTGCTATGGTTACCTCTTCTTTAATACTCCTTTGAGAGAATAAGAAGTAAATTTCTTCCCATTTTCTGATCATGACACAGAAGATAAGAATCCTCAAGCACAAAACTGCGTCAAATAATATGCACCTATTGTCTACCACTGTTGCAGGTAGTGTGCATACCTAGCATCTGTAAGCTACTAATACCCTCATCTATCTAGGGAGGTCCTATGGGATGGATGAAAATTAGCAGATTCATCAATCAGTTATATTTCACTGCCCTACTTTTATGACCCTTCCCCCTAACGCCTTAAAATAGGTTGCTACAATGCTGGAACACGCAGTACACTAAGAACAGGTGGGATTTACATGGGGACAAAAAAGATTTGCCATGTAACACAGAAGCTGCCTCTCTCAGCCTTCCGTCTCAGTACTCCTGCCTTTCATCCTACAATGCAACTGAAGGTGTGGAAGGTTTACGCTGTTTGTGTGTCATAGGTATTCACCCTCAAAATACTTTTATGTAGTGAAGCTAGAAAAGACAAAGAGGAATATCTCCAATAGCTAGAAGTGTTGCAAATTGTGAGCCACCCACAAAGTATTTTAAATGCTTAACAGACAATAATCCTCACAATAATATGTCAAAATGTATGGTTGGTGGGGGAATTGATCTGATGGGGGGAAAACAAAAGGACTGAGAGACTGGTCTGTCCAAGATTACACAGACAGGTGAAAGCCTACAGTCCTTACAAACTACCTAGTTCTGAAATCCTTTTAATACATTATTACTCACATGGCAAATGCTCTCTCAAAGCAAACAGCTATAAAAATATTTGTTTGTAGATTTTAAGGAGAAGAAATTAAGACCCAAAAATATTTATCTGAAGTCATATTTAACTGATTTGTATACCATAACATAAAGAATGAACTTGCAAATGTTAATGGCATTTGAATGTAGAATTGTTTTTATGTTATTGAGATATTTCCTTTTCGTGAAGCCATTTGAAGGTAAGAGAAGATCAGCAGCCATGTTTGTTTGAGCTTCTCAAACAAGAACAAACAAGTGATGCAGAACCTAAAGAGATGATCAGCAGCTGAAGGCAAAGACCAGAGAGGGATATTACATGAAGAAAGCTGTGCAGCAGATCCTTCACAGCGTAACTGCTGAAGTTGTTAGAGAAGATGTAGGTGAAAGAATTAAGACAATGTCATGCACAAGGGCAGCTGTGTGGGCAAGGAGCCAGGCAGAGACAAAATGCAGAGCAGGCTAAATAAAGTGCAGGCCGTAAGATATATCCTCATAAATATATATACAAATAAAAAGAAGTTATTGTTGTCACTTTTTTTTGATGCTCAAAACACGTGCAGGTTAAATTGAAAGAAATGGGTACACTGAAAGCATTTCAGAAGTTTGGATATTCAAAAAATAAAAACCTTATACATATCCAGGTTATTTTGACTATTAACATCTCTTTCTAACATGGCCAACTTTGGAATATTCAATTTAAGATTGCAATATAAACGTTATACAGTAATATAAGAGATTTTTACATTATTGAACCCTTAGCATCTTTCTTGAGAAAAACTTTCCAAAATGAGACAGCCAGAGCCAACAGCCTTTTCATATCTTGCAGCTTTAAAGCTGCATTAATGCTGATGGCTTTCCATGAAATTATTTTTTATGCTAATTTTTTCCTAGAAGTTTTTGAGAATTAAATCCCCAGAATTTCAGTAGGAGCTGGGTATCTAATTAACCTAGGGTTTTTTTGAAAAATCACTCATTCTGTTTTGAAGGCAAATGAAAAGAGGATGATGAGGTAAGTCCTTTGTACATTTTCCAAAGCCAGTTTTGCACTCTCCAAAGTATTTGCTTATTTTAGATGGCTTTTCTGTTGGCTGCTCCTACAGAACTCTGTGCTTGGTGTACCGAGTATACAGATTTCTAATGGTCATACTTTTAGTAAAGTAAGTACTGATTTACTTTTTTTTACAACCTGTCAATGTAACACTCGATGAGGATTGAGTTCAAGCTATACTGGTATAATGCTGTCCAGCCTAACATAATGCAAGCCGTGGACATAACATAATTCAGAAAAATTGAAGATTTTTTTTTTTTAAACTAACAAGAGGCAAATACAGAAAAAGAGATGAAATTTAGGTCCTAAAACTATAATCTGAGGCACAGGTTTTGGACATGAAGGTTTCCTGTTTTCTCCTGCAATTCTAGTCTCAAGGTTCCTGATCTGCATAGTATGGGGCAAAAGTGACTTTGTAACACCAGAGGGAAAGTGAGCAACTCTCCACTATTATTTACACTTACCTAAAATGAGTGTGAAAGGCTATTAATGTGTCCTTATGTATACCTAAAAGACTATCCAACATGCCAGACAATAGAAAATTACGTACAAAGAGTTTAACTACTTCACAAAATAATACTCCTAAAATAAAATGAAATGTAGCAGATTTTGGCCACTTCCAAAGCCTCGTCTTCTGCACTGAACAGATGACAAGTTAATCTGATTAGATGTTCAGTGCTGAGACTAGGTAGTGATGCTTCATAAATATATGGACACTATGTGGCTGCTTTTGTTAGATCATTTGGAAGACTAATTACTTCAGATGACCCTTTGGTTTTGAATGAAATTAGGATGAGTAGACAAATCAGGGCTAGTCATCATAGACTGACTGAGTTGTAAAAATAGCAATAAATCTACTGCCATCAAGAATAAAAGCACCATTTAAGACGCTTGAGCTCACAAGAGTCCAGAGCCTCTAAAGGAAGCCTCATTGGTGCAGCAAGAAGCATATTAATATCCTCTGAGACAGGGCATGATTTAATAGAGGCATGGTTCAAAGTCCCCAAGTCCTCTATGGGCTGGTCTCCAGTCAATTTTCTATCTGTATTTGAGAGCTAAAGAGCATTATCAAACATAGGCACATGAAACAAAAAAAGTATTGTCCTTTGGTGCTTGACAAGTGACACACTAGGCTGAGATGTCAACATACTGTTGGCCTTCTTTCAAATCTTTCAAAAATCAAAACAAATTGAAGCTGAAGCCACAAAACTCCCAAATCTAGCTCCACGAGGGGAGGAAGCTGGACTGTGCACCATTTCCCCATATATATACTATTTCATATGTCTCTCTCTCTCTTCAAGGGGAGGGGGGAAAGACCAGGGAGAGAACCACCAAATATGCTAGTAGGGCCTGCCAGAGGAGATGATGCTAAAAATTCACATGGCTGTACAGACCTGCTTGGAGGTTTTGATCCTTCACTAGACTTGAACCAAGCCCCTGAAGACTTCAGTGATGTGAGCTCAGTTCTTAAGCTGAGCACCTTACAGGCCATTATGTTTGAGAATTTCACAGCGTTCTCAGAATTTAAAAAACTACAGGCGTATTAGCACAGGCAAACAAGTAACAGTATCAACAGAAAATGACAAATAAGCCTTTACTGATTTAAAATCTGAATAACACTTACTTTCTGAGCAAACATTCCTAATTCTGTCAAAGGCGGACACATACCTTCAATATTGTTTTTGGACGTTTTTTAAAGTAAAGTTTTGGCTTTTCAATCACAGGAAGAGGAGGAAGTTTCTTAAGTTCTTGTAGGACAGCCATTGCAGCACGTTTCTTTGAGAGTTTCTTACTGTTGCCTTCTCCTTCTGCAGTGAATTCTCCTACTGTAACTCGTGTAACAAAGCTCTTCATGTGAGGAGGTCCACTTTCTTTAATCACCTTTTAAGCGAAAGTAACATTGAGTCAAATCACTCTACAAGAATATAACTTAGTGTTTGTATCTCTGCAATGTACTTACTAGTAATGCAGTTTTCCTGCTAACCGAAGGCATTAGATGGGTTTTCATAAAATCTGGACAAGTGTTAATGACAGTACCAGATTTGAGGACAGAAAATTAAGGCTAATTAAATAAAGCAAATCTAATCATCATACTCAGTGTTTCACAGAAAATACAGTAGACCTATATTTTCAAAAAGATCTACACAGTAACACAATACACAACAATAATGCATATTTAAACCAAGGCTGCTGTGTTTTTTCCTTGCAAGGTGCTTCACGTACTAAAGAAATTAAATTCATGAAGGTCCACCAGGCTTTGGCTATTTCTTTACATAAAACCTATACAAAACTGTATTTATACGGCATCATTTCAACCTGTTCGTAATTTTTTTCTACTACCATTAAACGTAGGATGTTCATGCATGGTCCCAAACTTCAGCCTTAAAGGTCCATATTTTTACGCTGTCCTAGCTGCCAGCAGCATGCCTGCTTTCAACTCTTACCTTGCCAGAATACACAACTCAGAGCGGTATCCTGTACATTTGAAAGGCTGCCACAGTCTTGCCTCCATGACTCTCAGCTGTCCCTCCCAACAGAACCAAAAGGAATTATCAAAAGAGCCACCATGACTGACACAAAAGCCAATCAGCTCTGAAAAGTTTCATTTATTCATTCTCTTCCAAACATATTCAGGATGACAATGAGAAAACGCATTTGAAGTATATCTCCAATATTAGGAGTTACAATAATATGGAAAAAACCGAAGTTCTGAATGCTGTACCTTCCTTTAGCTTTTTTTCTGTCTTCATTTTTCCACACACGTCTCCTTTTAGGAGGCTATACTGTTGGGATGCATTCACCAACAAATCACAGCACTGCAAGTGCTAAGATAGCCACCTCTTCACGTATGCACCATTTACTGGTCTGGACAATGTCTATGAGGAATTAGAGACCTCATTTGGGAAAAGGTTCAGTTATTTTCTTTGATGGGCGGAAGCAGCTACCTAAGTTAATCTTTGTTACATGTAATGTGTATAAGGAGACATTAGAGCATTGACAGGCACCTCTTTGTATTATCTTCAAAATCAATACAAATAGGTATTTTTTCAGTAGGTGCAATTACATCAAACCATTTGTTGAAGAAGTATAATGCCTGAGTGCAAGGGAACTGAGGTAAAGGTGCTAGGGACTTCTTGGTGTAATAACTATAGTTTTAATGGGCTGAAACCTTCAACCTTAATATTATTACAACATGTTTTGTATTAAAGTTCTTTTTATCAAGGTCATGTCCCTTGCATTATTTAGTTTTGCTGTTACACTGTAATGAGGTCTCCTTAGGCTTGTATTTCTTTTTTAAGCTCTCTTTTGTGGCAACTTTACCCAGCAAATACAATTATCACAGCATATATCAATAAAAAGACACAAAATGAAAATTAACAGACAACTTTGCCCGCATTTTCCCAGAATAAGACAACATCTGTGCCAGCATGGGATTTTCCTATTGTCGTCCAGGAGTGTTCCCACTCTACGATTCCAGGTAATAATTTCAGAAGTGTTTTCAAGATTGCCTCACTTGAAAGTTGCCCACTAGTGCTTCACCGTGCAAGAAGGCAGTGGTGCTTTCGTGGCACTGACCCACGCTGAGCCATGAGAAGCTGCACTGCCTGCACCAGAGCTGGGACGAGCCCAGCACCAGGACCTCCCGCTCTCAGGCACAGTCAGGCTTCATATCAGTGCTGAACACCTTCATCGCACGGCAGTGTTTCCCACTCTGTTTTAAAGGCGTATCTTAATCCATCTCTGTACATTGCTATCCAAGTATTACAACACATTGGCTGTAAAACATGGCTAAATTAACTTTACTAAGGTCCTTAATCTTTATGTGGTCTTACTAATACCATTATATAGGTGTTTCTACTTACATGCTAAATAATGCATTAATAAAATATACAAGAATGTCTATACTGACCAGATGAAAAAGGACAAAATAACTTGCTTAAGAAATACAATTGCCGAGTTCCTAAAACATTAGTTTTATATAAGTTTTCTCATATATATAAATGCACACAAATATATATATATATGAAAAAGAATGTTAATACAAAACCAGATTATATTTTCATATACATGAAAATATATTTCTTAATATAAAACTAATGTATTCCGGTGTATTTTTCATCTTTTAAACTTTTAAGTATGTGACACAAGGTAAATAATTGCCTGTAAAACATTCAAAACTGTTTCTTTGTTAGTGTGCAAATGAAAAAAAGTCTGTGTTGTCAATGGAATGAACCCCATAAGATTCAGATGGGATCCGGATCAAGCTAAACATCCAAATTTGGTAATTTAGCAAAAAAAAATATTTACCTAACAACATTTTTGGTTAACCCCAGATTTTAGATCTTTTTCCTCCACATGATTTCAAACAGTTGTGCTATAAGCCTAGGGACAGAAAATACTAACAAGAAATTCAGCCTTTGCTATCCAAGAACTCTATATGCATTAGTACATTAAACTATTTCCTCAGTTGAAAGATACGACCCGTGGACCAAATCATAGCTAATTTAAAGCTGAGAATTTGATTAAGGGTGACAGTTCAATACACTTTTCTTGTTCTGTTCCACTGATTTAAAGAATAACTCCAGCAAGAGAAAACACATGGGGCCAAAACACATCTAAGGTCAAGTTACATCAAGAGTGAATTTGGCTCAACTTAATGAATCATGCTGACAAATGAAAAACAGCAGTACGATTACAACGAAAGAGCAACACTGCTTCAATTATTAATGAGACTGCACGTAGAAAATTTGAAAGATTACAACAAGATTAAATGGACATCAACAAAAAAAATAGAGGAGACAAAAAGCAGGTCAACAAAAACATGTCACCTACATCCATGATTATTTAGAAGTTTTAAAATACGAATATATTTCCATGTGCTTGTGCAGGCAGACATACCAGATTTTCCCAGTTAAAAAAAAAAAAAATTTGGGTGTTTTATTAAAATCGGAGTGAGGAAGGGTGACCATCATGCAAAACCCGAGTGAGAGCTACTCAGTGTGTCAATCACCCAATCTGAAAGTCTTAATCCCCAGGAGCGCAGGAGCCAGACGGGTGTGAAACTTCCCGCTGAGAACTTGCTCAGTCTCCCAGAGTCAGCAATTTCGTCTGTTCCTGGTTCAAAATACAGAATCTCTGCCTCACTGTGATAAGACTGGAACACAAGAAACTGCAAATCTTTTTCCCAGCAGAACACTGGAAGGTGATGGAGGGGCAGAAAATTTGCCTGTTCAGGTACTCTATCCCCTCATTCCTGATACTGAGAATGAAAAAAAAGTATTATTGTATTTGCTATTCTAAAGAAAGAACACTCCAATCCAAAGAAAAATACTGAAAATAAAATGACAATCTGAAACACCCCAACATGTTCTAATACCTGAAGCTGTTGACCTCAGTTATGTCTTCTAGTCTCACCCACCTCCTTACTGACAAGTTGGAAATAAAAAACGTCTATCTTGCAAGAGAACCAAAAAAAGCAAGATTTTAGCCTACTGTCAAGGAGAGAATAAGAAGCAAAATGACCATTTTACAGTTATTCTAACAATTCCTACAGCAATCAGTTTTGTATCCCTCTCTAAAAATTGTTCATTGAGAGCCTTAGAGGAGTTGCAATTTGACATAAAAGTTGATGAATAAAGGTTAGCTAAGGATGCACCAGTGAGAAGTATAGAGTAAAGCTTGTTCTTTGTTAGAATTGAATGCTTTTATTTTAGTTAACGATTTAATAGATAGAAATTCCTTAAAACTTGTCCTAAAGTTCCTAGGCAATTAAAACTAGCCAAATACAAAACAGGATAGACAGAAGAAACCCATGCTCTGCATGCTCTCCCTATTTTCCACCCCTTGTGCAATTCTGAGGACATGTTTACATAGAACTTTACATATCTTTATCACCATTACTTAGTTGCATAACACAGCACTGTTGGAACATTGGCTAATGCTTCGTCAGATGAAGAAAAGGCAGATCATTTTATAGCTATCACACAAAAAAAGCTAGAGAAAGCTTTGATGCTTGCCTGGAATAACAGAAAACCATTTGTAAATAAAATCCTATTAGAAACATCAGATCCTAGGGATTACCCATAATTGCTTAACAGTTTTATTGAAATATAAGCCAGTACCAAGTTCAATCAAAACTCTATTTAAGAATGTCACCTAAACTTAGATTTAAAGGCAGGAAATAACACAAAATCTGTCAGGAAAGCAAGAAACTGTCTTTTTTCAATGCTGTTAACATTCTTTGGCAAGTGACACATTACACTTTTCCTGTACTAAGTACCTCTGCCTTCATCCTCTCCTTACCAAACGCTCTCCCTTAAATAAGCTGAAACACAGGAATGAAGTTAAGAAGATATTCAAAGCACTACCCCTCTTTTCTTTCCAACCTCCAAGCTATTCTGTGACCCGTGACCATTCATCTCCTTGTATTTTAGTATATTGATTTGTATGGAACTATTCCAAATACTTTTAAATACTTAAGGTAGAAAATGATGTGTGAAAACTGAAAAATTAATTACGAGCTTCCTTTTTGAAACATAGGCATGTGTTTCCATTATGGCTGCTCTTATATAAGAGTTATGTTCTTTCCATGTAGTTGCAAATTGATACACCAACACCCCCAGACACCCCAGTTTTATCCTTGAGATTTTACATTCTCTTAACTTTCTAATTAGTCCATATTACATAGACCATATATATGAAACACATACGCGTTTGTTATACTGAGGAATTCCTTAGTCAAAACCAATATTCTTTGTCTTTGGCTCTCTTACCTACCTTCTGAGAGATTTCTCAGATTTCTAAGAAGGTCCAAATAGCTCCTCTGACATTGGCCGATTCATGGATATGGGCCAAACATGTCAGTAAACTGCATACAGCACACTGTAAGGCAAGCCACCACACAATTTTTTTTTTTTTGGCATGCAAATATGTGCCTATACTTCAAAAGGAAAAAGCACTGGAGAAAATAACCATCACCAGTAGAGGCACTACCCACGTTCTTCATATATACTCATTTCAAATGTAAACAAAAAGCAGAAAAATAAAACTTTAAAGAGCCACTTACATTAGCATTTTCTGCACTTAAAAAAAAAAAAAAGGAAAAAAAAACCCAGCTTGAAAGTCTGGTGGTTCCTACCACAACAACGCTAGATTTTTACAACCAGTTTGTGTCAGAACTTTCTCATCGGAAAAATTTTCCTGTTACTATCGCTCATTCTCCCATAGTTAATTCATTGATAGCATTGGAGCTATTCCAAATATTCTTTATTACTTAAGGTAAACAAAGATGTCAGAAGCAGGTTCATAGATAAAATCATATGAAATGAGAAAAAAAAAATCATAAAGGCTTAAGTAGAGATAGAGAGTCAAACAGTGTGGAAGATAAAAAGATACTCATGACTTTCTCAAAACAGCACATTGGATGCAAAGTGTCTCAATGGGAACTTCTGTAGTGTATGAATGCCTAGAGTTAAAGCAAAGACTTTGGCTGACTGTTTTGAAGATTATTTCAAATCAGATTGAGTGTGGCTACTGATTCTAATCCCTCAGCACTATACAGAAGATGCTTGAACTGTCTTTCTGCCATCTACTTGTTTGCAACCAAATATTAGGTCTCTAATACTTCCGAAAGAGCATCTAATGTAATAGTAAAAACTCAGTGTCTTATACTGTGATACACTACCAATTTTGTATTTATAATTTGCATGAATGTAAATGTCATATTCATAACATATTAATATTATTAACTGTGTTGAGTTTTAGTGGCACTTTTTTTAGTACTTTCTTAGCAAACAGATAAATATGTAACACATACCTCAAAACTGACAGGTATATTGCGCTTCAAAGCAATTTCAAACACTACACTGATCTCAGACTTGTTTGCATCTTTATCTTCTTCTGATTCTTTTCCTGTTTCTCCATTCTGAAAATGAAGAATACAAAATCATATTACAATTCTTAGAAGAGAAAAAAAATATAATCTGCTTCTCCCCTCATTTCTCAAAGACTTTTGAGTTCTCCTGTCATGCTGTAAATCAGTGTTTGTACATCCATCTCAGCACCCCATTATCAGACACCCGTTGACCGTGAAGCCATATATAATGCACTTATGCTTCATAATAAAAGAACGCATACACAATAATTTATAAATTAATGATACATGGCAAAATAACTTCTATGGATTTTAGTCTTATTAATGACATGGATAATTATCATCTGAATACACATGAGGATCAAACAGATCCTTTGACCTGTTTCTCAGTCTCTCTGTGGGTACCCCTTCCAAGCAAGGAAGAAGTCTGTACTTCTTGGAAAATACAGAAGACTGTACTTCTCTCAGAAGAAATTCAGTGAACCACCCCCACACTTTGACTGGGTCACCAGGTTACAGGTGTCCTCAGCAGGTCCAGCTGGTTAATGGCCCCTCCATCGACTTCCCTCTGGGAGTTACGACCAGTGTGAAAAGGTAGTGACAGAGAACAGCTTGCTCAAAACAGAACATTATTTATTTATCCATAGGAACATAACAAACAGAGAGGCTAAGAGATAAAACAACAAAAGGCACATGCAAACACTATCCTGCCTAAAATTCAGCTTTGCTTTGCACTTTAGGTAAGTCTTATTTTTCTCACAACAACCACCAGCATGGGGATCGGTCAAAGAGTTATCGCCTTCTGCAACTGCTGCCTTTCGGTGTTTGTCCCCCAGGCCACACCCTCCTTAGTTCTCAGAGGTTTCACCTTCAGCTACTTTCAAACTGCAAAGCCCTGAATGTTTCAAACTGGGATCTCTCAACAACCATGTAGCCTTGGTCAGGCTCCTAATTCTTTATTAGCGGAGGTAAACATCAAAGAATCTTGAGCTGAATTAGGTAGATTCCTGCAGAGTTCCCATCTTACATAACAAAGTCTGATCTAAATCTTCAGCCACTAGCATAGCTAAAAAATCCAGATACCGAAGTGATAAAATAACATTAAAAAAGCATTAGGCTTTTCACAGTAACAATGAAATTTATCAATCTTTTATCTACCATTTCTTAATTCTTAATATATTAAGAATATTAAGAATTCTGCAGCAGCAGAATTGCAGCAGTCAGCTACAGCACGCAGACTTGGAGCACTTTTTGCCTCATTAAATGGTTGCAAAATTTTGAGTCTGAAAAAGCAATTTACAGCCCTGACATTGATCCGGAGCTAAATAAGAAACAAAAACTTATAAAGTTTATAGAATCTACTGAAAATAAAGGGTGCAGTGCAAAGCAGTAACAAGGGCAGTTAGAATGAAATTATGTAGGACCTCTAGCTCATTTCATATAATGAAATGTAAAGTAGCACTGAAATCAAGAATGCAGGTCATTATTTGTAGGACAGGCAAAGCATTGATTCAGTGAAGGACTTAGGTTCACTGAGAAAGATCAACTGAACAGAGTTAAAAGGACAATATTTAAAAGTAAAAATATATTTTGGGGATATAAAGAATATCAAACATAAAGAGTGGGGTACTACTGCTCTGTAAAAAACCTTAGCGAGAATCTTACTCAGTATTGTATTCAACTAAATTTGCATTTTATAAAGGACACTGATAATCTAAAAAGCTGACAAAAAATCCACAAGGATGAACTACTGATTAGAAAAAACAACTTTACACTAAGACACTATGGAAACAATCAGTTCTATAAAAAGATTCAAAATTACTTAAGCATAATTTGTAAAAGTATATGGGGGAGAGATTTTTTATATCTGTTTGTTACAGATCTTCTGTACAGATCTTCTTAGCAAAGATAAGAAAATACCAATTAGATAGAAAATGAAGCTAAGGGAATTTAGAAGAAATCCCTTGCAAATTATCTTTGAAATGGGGAATAATCAATCACTGACATAATTTACATAAAATAATATTCAGCCCACTGGACTGTCACGAAGCCTTTAAGTCAAGAATTTTTAGGTTTTCTAGCTATGCTCTAGCTTAACCAGATATGTGGAGTCTAATGTAGAAATTACTGTTTAAAACTTCATGATTAATATGAGCACATCGGTCCAGAAAATCCCTGATTGTCCCTTCTGCCCTTACAATTTCACTCCTTGCATATTTTTCCACCAAACACAGTAGAGAGCCTAACCATGAGTGGAGACTAGGGAGCATCATAGACTTTAAGGCTTAGACCTTAGTACTGAGCAATAAAGTTTCAAGCCTTAGTCATATGACTTCCCTAAGGAAGATAAAATATGTTCAGGAGTGTCTCAAGTACTTTGGATTTAAATTTGATCCTCATTCCACAACTGACACTTTAATTGTAAGGCCTTTCTTAGCCTCACATCTATGAGACAGCAGAGGTGCTTTGGCAGACACACAATAGCTCTTTTATGAAAGCAGGTTCATATGCACCTGTAACCCTGCCCTGTTTGCTGATTGCTTTTTGTTTCTGCTCACCTTACGCTCTTCTACACATTTGCGCAATGAAGTATTAAGATGGCAATATTCCTCTTCAATGGTTTAATATGGATAAAAAAATGTATCCTTAATTAAGTTAAAAAAAAAAAAAAAAGACAAAAAGGGTATCTCGAAATGAAAGAAGAATATACAGAAGCCTGCATTAAGCATACACAGTTATGAAGGCCAAAAGGTAAAGCCATGTATTTACTGTGCAATATTCCATGGATCCCATTCCAGTGAATTTCACTGAGTTACTAATGGGATGCAGGGCTAGATCGGTACCAGCAGGTCTGTCCTCCCTCCTCTCTCTGCTCTCATTGGAAGCACAGTGGCAGTGACTGGGGGAGAAAGAAGCTCAATCAGTCATGTAATTGAGGCCAGCCAGACTCTAATGTGTACTGGCTCTGATCCACGCATGATGTTTGAGGAATGGTGAATCAATCATCTTCCATGGTGGATCCAAGCAGGTCAGTTCTGCTGAAGAAAGTGGAGTTTTACTGAGCTGGACCATGTCCTATGGTAAGGGCACATCCCACCACTGTGTAGCAGCCCTGCATGCACTTCACACAACCAGCAGCAGGGAGGAGCCTGAACCTTGGCACCATGAAGCCCTTAAACTCTACTTCAACCAACCTCCAGTTCTCTGGAGAGCTACACTCAGCTCCACACGAACCAACTCTTTGTACTCCATCATGACCTCGGCATAGTGTCACCTCCAGCCTTCTCCAGTCACCTACAACTCTAACCCATGAAGTGACAGAGATGTTTCTTCATGACTAGCCCGCAACCAGCTCCCTTCACCCTCAGCATGACCAAGCCATAGAGGTTTTCCTGACTGAAGGCTCGATTTAGTCTCCTACTCACAGACACCTGTTATTGAGATCCTACAGTATCCCAAGTGGTCTTCAACTGCTGCACCAGAAACTCACAGTGCTCCCACAGGTCTTGCAAGTACTATGTGAATGTCTCAGCTAATCTACAGTACAGTCTCCTGATAAGTCTTCCCTGTTTTTCTCATAGCTAACTGTGGACATGATTCAGTTTACATATATAACTTATGGTTAAAGAAGAATGAAGTTACTCCATTAGCTCACGCGAGAGACAACACTACAGCATGCTACAAGAACTTAGGAAACTCAATTTGCCATGACTTCATCTTCTAAAAGCCTGCACATCCTAGCAGACACTGATGTAAATAGACACTAAATAGTCCCAATTAGGCAAGAATGTTAATTAAAGATTTTATTACTTTTGCTAGGTAAATTACATATGTACATGGGCTATGAAAACTCAGTATACAAACCAGGTACATATCCATGTTACTTATATAGGTTATTTACTTCTGTCTACTACTTATCATCCTATGCACTTAGTGGTTTAATTTCCATTCTGATTAATGGATATCTTGAATTCAAAGATTCTTTTGATAAAATATAATATTAAACATATAATTTTCAAAAACTAAGAATATGCTGAACTAAAAATATGTTTCAATAATATGAAATTCCCATTCAGGTTTGTGCTAAGAATCATTATCAACCAATACATTTGTCTGGAAACCAAAAGACAAAGAAAGGGAATTAACAATGAGAAAGGAAACAGGGATTCCTCCTAAGACTTTACATATTTTTTAATAGTTTTCCTGTTTTTTTTTAAAAAAAAACAATATTAATTATAGTAAGTGATTTTGAAGAGAATTTCCTGATCCAGAAAAATAATATAGCAAAACAAAAGGGTGAGTCAAACTCTCTTTGGATCAAAAGGAGGACGTAGATGCAGGGTGAGGCAGAAAGAACAAAGATTTTTTTTAATACAGGAAATTATTTCCGTTCTTAAAAAGCAGCTCAAAACTACCACACAAGACACTGAAGGTACTATTAGTAATGTTTTGTACTGTGCACAGGGTTCAACAGGCGTCATCAGAAAAAGTGTACAAAATAGAAAGATTGTCTCCTCATGCATTTATTTTGGCTTATTTGACTGGGCAATTTTATTATATTTGTCCTTTCAATTTGCAAAGATTATTCTGAGAATAATTTTTCTGTTAAATATTTTTTAAAATATGACACAATGTTTTCATTTTTAAGTAGCAATATACAGCAGTTACAAACACAGCCGTGAGAAAGCTAGCTATTTAAAAAGGTACTAAGTGGCTAAAACCATTGGATAGGTGATCAGTAGCTGTCAGTGAGCTCCGTCAGGTTCCTAGGTACACTGGGGACAAGTCATTTCAACTGTAAAGATCACATTCATGGCACAACACAAATTCAAGATTAATAATTCAAGCTCCATGAAGCCACTCATTAAATGGACATTTTCTCCACTTCTGGTATCATTTCAAATATTTTATTTTATTTTATTTTTTACTTGATCACTGTTGACGATCCCATCTTTAAAATGCCTACTTTTTTTGTTATTTAAGTCTAGTTACATGTTAGGTGTGCTATTATAAAGAAATAACACTAGCAATTTGTTAGTATTGCTTCTCTAATTACTGAGGCTAATATGAAAAAAACACTAAAAATTAAACATTGAACAACTGGCAATGAAATTGTTCAATTCGGTATCTTAACATGAAGATTAGGAACAGTTTTCTGAAACACAAACCTGAGGTAATTTTTCTGGAATAGGTTCATTCTGGAGAGCTTGAAGGGCCTTCATTGCAGCATTATGTCTAGCAGCTTGACGAGTCTTTCCTTCACCAAAAAACTCACTGTTGCCAACAGTTAACTGGACATAAAAAATTTTAGGCACTGGGCAGTGATACCTGGAAAAAAGTCATGAAAAGAAAACAGCAATACAAGTTACGAATTTTAACCATCAATTTTATGTAATATAAAGTAGTAGTTAGGGATACAATATTATCTTTTCTCACAGAGTAAGAACTAACACTCAAACACATGACTGTTCCTCACCAAGACCGCCAGTAACTCCGGCGGCACGTCCTACGCGCAAACCAGCTCTTCAACGAGCTCTACTACAGGCCAACAGCCCACCTCTGCTCTCTTCTTGGTTTGAGTCTTGAGAAGATTAAACCTAAGGAGAACCGAAAGCTCCAGTGGAAGCCATGCCTGGGGAAAGGAAAGTGACATGGAGGAAGAAGGATTGTGAGGTCTCTCATCTGAAACGTGCCGGCATAGCTCAGCTCTTGGGGACAACAAAATGTCAGATGGCAGAGAGTGAGGAACCTGGACAACATACTTCTAGCCTCTTTTTAAAGCTCAAGTACTGAAGTCGTTGTAGAGGATAAGGAGGAATTCTCTTCCAAAGCGTAATAGAAGGTAAGGAGAAGCTCCCCTTCAACACTGTAATAGCCAAAAATTTTCTGGGCACTGAAAGAAAAGCAGCAATCACCACCACATTGTTTTCCTTTTTTTTCCTTCCTACAGAAAAAATTCCAAATATAATGGCAGGGTTAGTTTTTCTGAATATGTCTGAAAGGCACCAAAAGAAAGATAAAGCAAAAAATTCAACATTTTCCTATGAACCAGCACAGCTATTATTCCTCAAAGAAAGCAGTATCTTTATTCACATCATCAACTCCATATCTATATTTTCAGTAATAAAAATAGCTAACCCAACCCATACTCCCTACCCTGAAACCTGTCTCTCACTAGCAGTGAATGAAGAGAGAGATGTAATGCCATTCTTGGTTTTGGGAGGTCCTGTCACAGCACTGTGACAACTAAACATAAGAGCTTGTCCACATAAGCAATTTCTACAGAATAGAAGTATTCCCTCCCCAAACTCAGAAAAACCAATTCAGCACAGCTAATTAGTTCTAGTTCTGTTAAAATTATAATCTTTTAAGAGAACATTTCCAAAAAGTCTTCTAATTATAGTCTACGAAGGTGAGGGAATTTGCTTCATACTCTTCGCTCTGTGATCTAGTCTGCCTGTGCTCCTTGTTCAAACAAAGGCTTTTTTAACACACTGGGGATTTAGTCCCTGGAAAAATATATACCTATCAGAAATGGTTTCTCATTTATGACAAATAACTTGTACATATTTTACAGCAATGTAAAAAAGCCCAGAATTCCAAATGCGTGGCCAAAAGCTAGGTCCGTCACAACAAAACGAGAATTGGTCAAAAGCACAGAAAAGTACTACATTTTCCTTTTCCTCTTAGAGAACCCTTATTAAAGCATGCGCTCTCCATTTTCATCTGTTGACATGGATGATGATTTTTCTTGTATGAAGACTTTCTGACTTTTCATTAATAATTGTAATGGATTTGTTTCAACTATAAAACAAAATAAAGTTTTTCAAACAGCAGCACACTTCAAACAAGTGTGAATAAGCACTCCAGTCTCAGTGTCCCTGAACTTTGTGCCTAATTCTAAAAATACGTTTATATGGAAAAAGCAAAACCGTAATACTGGCTCCAACAAGCCTCTGGCTATAGGGCCTTGGAGGGGTGAGCTAAGTTGCCTTTACGACATGCAAAAAGTGGGTATTTACTTTGCTTTCCTGTTTACAGTTTAACACAGTTATAGGGAATTATTAAGGCCTGGAAATGCATTTGCTTACGTAACATTTTCATAAAATTATAGAATAACTTAGGTTGGAAAGGCTCTTGGAGGTTATCTAGTCCAACGCAGTGCCCAAAGCAGGGTCAAGCTCTGAAGTTACACTGTCTTGTACAGGCATTGTCCAGGGTATTGTGGATATCTCCAAGGATGAAGATTCTGCAACATCTCTGGGCAACACATTCCAGTGTTTTGCCCACTCTTTCTGGAAGAACATTACAAAGCTCCTACATGCCTAATGAAACTCAAACACCACAGTGCCATTCGTTAACAAAGCAGCTGTCAAACCAAAGAAACAGATAGTTCAAGAACGTTAATTTCTATCCCACTCCACTGTGTCCTTCTTTGCTTCTGACACACAGCATTCACCTTTTTCCTCCGCCCGCTTCTAAAAGGTACAAACACAATACCAAAACACTATCAATGTGACAAAATCTACACTAAAAAAGTACAGTGGCTTCAGACTGAGATTTACCTCAAAAAGAATGGTAGCTTTTCGAGTAAAAGGGAGAATTTCACCCTTTCCCTTCACTTAATGAGTTTACATAAAATGCCTCCTATATCAACATTTTCCTTAGATTTATTAGTGTTATTTGGTTTGCAATATTGTTTTAGGGAATATTAAAAATAAATTTAGGGAATATGCAGGCAATAAGTGGAAATACTACCTTGAAAGAATTTAAATCTAAGAATCAGGAACAGGCCTTTGACACTAAACATAGGTCAAACTATATTTCTAAAGTGAAAATATTACACTTATTTAAAATCAAGGGAAAAACAATTAAAAGCTTCATCAGTATAGTCACCATCAACTCCACTTCTTCCACAGCTGGCTTAAAGCTGTCTGTCCCTGGCTCCTCTACACTGCTAATGTGATTCCTCTGAATGTCTTTCCTTAGTTTACCACAGAAACACAGAATAGTTGAGGTGGAAAGTGACCTCTGGAGATCCCCTAGTCCAACCCCCCTGCTCAAAGCAGGTCAGTTAGAGCAGACTGCTCAGGGCCACTTCCCATTGGGTTTTGAGTATCTCCAAGGGTGGTTGATTCAACAACCTGTCTGGCAATCTGCTCTGGTGTTTGATCACCCGCACAGTTAAAAAGTCTCTTCTTTTCTTATGATTAAATGGAATTTCTTGTATTTCAGTTTGTGCCTCTTTTTCACTGGATATCTCTAAAAAGAGCCTGGCTCCACTTCTTTACTCATTCCCTTCACATATTTTATACAAATCGGCAAGATCCCCCTGAGTCTTCTCTTCTCCTGGCTAACCAGTCCCAGCTCTCTCACTCTCTCCTCAGACGAGAGATGCTCCAGTCCCTTAATCACCTTAGTGGCCCTTCACTGAATTTGTGCTGATATGTCCATGTCTCTGTTGTACTGGAGAGCCCAAAACCAGACCCAACACTCCAGATGTAGCCCCTCTCCAGGGCTGAGTAGAGGGGAAGGATGACCTCCCTCAGCCTGTTGACAACACTCTTCTAAATGCAGCCAGGGATGCTGTTGGCTGCCTTTGTTGCAAGGGCACATTACTAGCTCATGTTTAACTTGGTGTCCACCAGGACCCCCGGGTCCTTTTCTGCAAAGCTGCTTTCCAGCCAGTTGGCCTCCATTGTGTAGTGATGTGTGGGGTTATTCCTGCCCAGGTGCAGGGATTTGCATTTCCCTTCGTTGAACTTCATGGAGTTACTGACTGCCCACCCCTCCTGCCTGTTGGGGTGCCTCTGGATGGCAAAGGAACCCTCTGGTGCATCAGCCACTTCTCCCAGGTTTGTATCAATTGCAAACTTGCTGAGTGTACACTCTGCCACAGCATCCAGATCACTAATGAAGATATTAAACAGTACTGGCCCCAGTATTGACCACTGGTGTATACCACTAGTAACTGGCCTCCAGCTACACTTTGTGCACTGATCACAACCCTTTGAGCCTGGCAGTTCAGCCAGTTTTCAAACTGTCTCACTGTCCATTTATCTAGGCCATACTTCACGAATTTGTCAATGAGGATGTTATAAGAGACAATGTCAGAAGCCTTGATAAAGTCAAGATAAACAACATCCGCTCCTCTCCTCTCATCCACTGAGCTAGTAATCTCAGTGTATAAGTCTATCAGATTGGTCAGGCACAATCTTACCTTCTTAAATCCATGCTGACTACTTACAGTCACCTGTCATTCTTAATATGCTCAGAAACGGTTTTCAAGATTATTTCCCCCATCATCTTCTCAGGGGTAAAGTGAGGCTGACTGACTTATTATTTTCCCAGATCCTTCTTCTTGCCCTTCATGAAAATAGGAGTGAAATTTGAAACCTCCCCAATCACAGCAATCTTTCAAACATAATCAAGAGTGGCATCACTATGACATCATTCAGCTCCCTCAGCACTCATGGGTGCATCCCATCAGGCCTCATGGACCTATCCTGTCTGTTTAAATGTCCCCCTACCTGACCCTCCTCCACAGAGTGTAAGTCTTACCTGCTCCAGACTTTCCCACTGATCTCAGGGACCTGGGACTCTTGAAGGCCAGTCTTATCAGTAAAGACTGAGACGAAGGCATTTTGAGTATATCCATCTTTTCCATGTCCTTTGTCATCAGGTTCCCTGCCCCACTCAACAGTAGGCCCCTAGTCTTCCTTTTGCTGATGTAGAAGTCCATCTTGTTGCCCTGCACATCCCTCTCCAGATTCAACTCCAGACAGACTTCAGTTTTCTTAACCCCATACCTGCACACTTGTAAGGTGTCTCTATAGTCACCGTGGGTCACCTCACCTGGGTCACAAACCCTGTTTGAGTTTAGTCAGAAGTTCCTTGTTCATCCATGCAGGCTTCCTGCTGCCTTTGCTTGACTACCTGTACGTCAGGATGGATGGTTAAACTTGAGCTTAGAGAAGGTGAACCTTGACAAGCTCTCCTGGACTCCTCCTCTCTTTCGGACCGTATCCCCTGGGATTCTTCCAAGCAGGTCTCTGCAGAGACCTAAATCTGCTATCCTGAAGTCCAGTTTGTGATCTGTGATATTTGCTTTGTTCTCTCCTCCCAAGATCTTGTCACTATCTCACGGTCACTGCACTGACCCCAACCTTCACATGCCTGACCAGTTGTTCTTTGTTTGAAAGTGTGAGCTCCATCAGGAGCTGGATTCCCCAATCGCCTATGTCAGAAAGTTGTCATTAATGCATACCAGAAACCTCCTGGATTGCTTGTGCCCTGCTGTGATGTCCCTCCAACACATACTGGGGTGG